TTAGTGTACAAATAAATTCTCTGACAAAAATTGTTACGGTATATATTACATACCTAAAACCTAATATTTATTTATATACTCATCGTAATTTTTTCAACGAAGCTTAATGTAGCTTCACCCCTGGTTTGAATTTTGTGTTCACTAACTATGGAGATTTCTGGATTATAAAAAGGGTAATCGGAATATTAGAGAAAAGTTATAGAATATATTTTAACGTCACCGGACATCCAAGTATCTAGGCTGTTTGGTGTTGGCCAGTACAACATTTTACTAGACTGAGTTTACTGATTTATAGCCCGTTTGGCGAAGCTGCAAAAATAAGCTTATTTTGAGAAGTGCTTTTTTTCAAAAGTGCTTTTCTCAAAAGTACTTTTGGTGAGAAGCAGTTTGTGTTTGGCTAATTAGTTTGAAAAGCACTTCTGAGCAGCAATTAGTGTTTGGCCAAGCTTTAAAAAACTACTTCTAAGTGTATTTTTCTCAAAAGTGTTTCTCAAAAAAGTGCTTTTGAAGAGAAGCTACTTTTTTCTGCTTCTCCTCAAAAGCACTTTTTTCCTTCCAAAAGCTTGGCCAACCACCTCAATTTTTGGGCAAAAAAAAAAAAGCACTTTTGGCCAAAAAGAAGCTTGGCCAAACAGGCTATTACATAGATACCATCGATGTTCCTTCTTCTTGCTTATCTTCTGTTGTTCCTGTTTCAATCGTCTCAAATTCTTTTATTCTTTCTGGTCTTCCTCTTTCAAGTATGTGCTCCTGCAATCTTTCTCATTTATTTGGTGATTTTTCTTGTAATCTTTCTTTGTTTTGGTACTATCTGTTAGTGAAAATCAGGATTTGATCTTCACTCCTGTAAAATTTATCCATCTTTGTTCTACTTGAATCTGGTGTGAGCTCTCTGGTTTGATGAGTTATTTTTGTAATTTTTTTTTGTTTATTGCAGTTTCTCTGTTGGCAATTGTAGTTTGGTGAGTATATATTAATCTATTATTATTTTGAATAATTTCTTACTAGAATTTTTACATGCATATCAATAACTATACATGTTTCATACATGCATTATGTATTTTGATACTAACTTATCAATTTAAAATTAAATTATTTTATTGAAAATTTGATTTGTGCTATATACTACAGATTGATTCTAGAAAGGAAGAGATGAGCAATGGAGGAGGAGGATGGGTGATTTGTGGTTGCAGCTAATATATACCGGGTACGATTACTTCACCAGCTTACATGACATAAAAGTCAGAAGACGAAGATGCACCCACATTCTTTTCCGTTAGTTTTTTCACTTTCTATTCCTCTTTTTTGGTGTAACTTTATTTTTACAGTGATTATTAGTAATAATTATTGAAGTGGACTATAAACCCTCCTAGATGTTTGATGATATTCTTGACTCAACTTATTTAGAGTAATTAAGTCCACAATTTTTATTTCAGCCTTAGCGATATAAGACTTGTGCTTTTTTAATACTTGCGAGTTGATTTAGCTGCTTTGAATGCTTCTGCACTTTGTAAAATTTCGTGAATTTATATCGTCTGTATCGACTATTCCACTCCCCCTTTCTACCCCTTTGGCTCGATTTTAACTCATAGATAAAAATATTAGACAAACGAATCCCAGACGGTGAGTAGTTGATTGTACTCCGCAGCTATTTTCAAAGCCATTATTCTCCCGCCCATCTTTAATTATTCTACAGATTTATGTCTATCTCTTTTTCATATGTATGTTTGCTAGGTTTTGGAATTGACAAAAGGTCTATTTTTGGTCAAAAATTAATTCGCTCATCAAGTTCTTATTTAAAAACTTGATTTATTCGTAATTAAAGAACTGAGTTACGCGTACATATACTTTTTTCTTTTTGCGCGTCAAACATCATGTCACGCGAACATGTCCACAATTAATAACGCTTTGTTTATTTTGTTTAAGAAAAGTTTGGTTGAAGTTGCGCAAACGCATCCCTCGATTTTTTTTAAAACGAGATTCAAAATTGTATTACGCGAACGTATACACGGTCACGATGGTTTGATTTATTAGGAGCGTGCTTAAAACATTTTCTTCGAGTGCTTCAAGAGTTGATTGTTTCGTATGCGCTTGAATATGTTTGTGGAAATCTAAAATTTAAGAAATTTTTGCGGAAGGAAAGAGGTGGATTGATTATGGTAAGAGGAGCTAGTTTATGAATTGTCATAAAAATGGGCTCACTCTAAAATGGATCAACAATGTTATTATAGAAATGGGCCTGGCATATTTTCTGTTTCTAGGCCCAAAATTCTTTTACTCCAAAATTAAACCATGTAAAAGCCCAAACCTTTCACCTACTCCTAGCAACTTCCCCCCAGATATTTACATTAGATTAAAATATTCTTGCAAGAAAAAAAAAAAACTAATAATCTAATCAACGTTCAAACAAAGAAAAATCAAAGGAAACATTGGCATGATTTCATGTAATTATCAAATAAGACATAATAACAGTAAAAGAATGAAGCAACAGTAGGAGTTGGACTGAGCACCAATTCAAACAATAACAGGCTTTCTTAAACGCATAAATCTCTATTTTTAACTTTAAACAAATTCTTGAAGATTTAGTATAAAAATGATACAAAATTAAGCAACAGAATACCATTTAATCTCATTCAACTGCTAAACAGATTCAGAAATTAAAGAAAAAGCGACATATAGAGTGATATGAATCAAACGGTGAATAGATAAACAGAAGTGAACCTGAATCGACTTGCGAGAAAAAGAAAAGAAAACAACTGCCGGAATCCGACAATCCACAGGAACGGAGACCTCCAAACGGACCTCAAATCTACTGGGTTTGGGTGGTGCTTTCAAGCTGCTTTTCGGGCTGGTTTAGGAGTTGATTCGGGTCTGTTTTTAAGCTAGTTTCAAGCTGAAATTTGTGGAGAATTTTACTGGTTTTTCAGCGAAGAAGCAGTTGAATTTTCTGCTGTTGTTTGAAGCTTTAGGGACTGGTTTTCATGGTGGAATCAGCTAGTTTTTGAGGTATTTTCAGGTTGTCTTAATGGCTGAAAAGGTGTGCTTCATGGCTGCTTAGGAGCGAAGAAGATGAAGCTCAAAGGGAATAGCTCTGTTGAAGAAGCAGCAACGGCCGGAGATTATCGGCTAAAGAGCTTAGGGTGTTCTCTAGCTTTTGAAGAAGATGAAGCACTGGCTGTTTTTCGATGGCTAGAGTAAGATTAGATTAGGTCAAATAGAAATGGGTATGGCTCAATTTTTTGGGCTTAAATAATTTTGATCATAAATTTGGGCTAATTAACTTTGGAATAGAAACACTAAATAAAAATCTTTTTTTTCATTTTTTTCTTCTTTTTTGGTTTTAAAATCTAATAAATCCTAAATTAATCATAAATCAATGTCATTTGTAAAAATTAAAATTGTTTATCTATTAAAATAACTAATTAACTTAAAACTAATTGAAAACACTACTTTCTAAAGACTAAAAGCTAAATATATAAAAATGATATTTTTTTGTCATTTTCTTAATAAAATTAATTCCTATGTGCAAATTGGGCCTAAGATGACATGAAATTAAAATGTGACATTTTTTGTGATTTTTCTATGATTTTAAAATATTAAAAATGCATGAAATGCAACTAAATAAAGAAAAACTTCTAAAATTCATTAAAAATTATTTTTGGTTTATTTTTAGGAGTTATCTTCATGTAGGGCAAAAATCACGTGCTCACAAGCTCACTGAGAACGTGACCCTTGATAAGAGGGTGTGGAGGTCGAGGATTAGGGTAGAAGGTTAGTGGGTAGTTTTTTAGTTGCTCACCGATAGTCTTAGTAGCACGCATGTCCCTTTATATTTTTAGACTTTTATTACGTTATATGATTTTGTTCGCCTCAGGTAGTGTATTCCATGTTGCTATTATTTGGTACTACTTATCCATTATCTCCCTTTTTTTCTTCTCTCTTCCTTTTTCTTCGCCTCAGGTATTGTATTCCATGTTCAAATGATATAATTAGAAATTATAAGGAATCACATGTCAAAAAAATTGAAGAAATCCGACAAAGAAATATAGGAGCAAGAACAAACCTGGTCTATGGCACATGGAATCAAGTAGCGAATGTTATCATTGCCAGAAAACAAATGAGGAAATGAACTTGGGAAGGATGGAACAACCTGCAATTTTGTTATTCACCTGTCTAAGTTTCTCTATCATTCTAAACCCAATTCAAATTCCTCAAATTTGAGCAGAGGACGAGTTCATATAAAATTAAAAGCAAGCTACTATTCAGCTTTTTCTTTTTTGGTGTGTGTGTGTTTTGGGGGTTTGGGGGGGGGGGGGATATAATGTATACTATTCCACCTTCTTCAGGCTCTCAACTTATCTATTTGACATGAAAATAAGAAAACAAATACGAAACATAAGGCACATATACTTCACTAACTTTGGTATTACAACAAAATCTAAAAAAGTATTAAAGTTAATAGAAAGACTATGGCTATCACATTGAGGAGGAGGCTACCTGAACTGGTGGAAAACTAACTTTCCCAATGTGATCTTCACCTGTGAAACCAAAAATGCCAACCACCTGAAAACAAATCGCATAGCGTAATAGGTCAAATGCCTCTTAACATAAGATGCTCTTGTGGATGTAAAGTAAGCAGAAATCACCTTATTGTATGTGACACATTTTGCAACCTTCACCATGTTCTTGTAAAAGGCACTATGCAAAAAGTTCTTGTTAGAAACGGACCATAAAACTATGTAAATACAACTCCTGGAGCTGTACACACAGAGCAGAAAGAAAACACAAGTTGATTGCATCCTTGTACGACTACGACCACTTAAATTCTACTTATGACAACAACAACAACCTAGTGGAATCTCACAAGTGGGGTCTGGGGAGGGTAATGTGTACGCACGCCTTACCTCTGCCTTATGAAGGTGGAGAGGCTGTTTTCGATAGACCCTCTGCTCGAGATTAAATTCTACTTATGACATAACATGTAAAGCTAAAATTTTCATTCTAAAAGGCAACTTTCAGTCTAATCAATTCCATAGCAACAAATAGAAACATGAAAATGAAATAACATATTTATCAGCGCGGTCCGCACTGTTTTGGTCCGCGGCCGCGCTGGGCCAGTGCGGACCGCGCAAAAGTGCTACGCGGACCTTGCAGGATAGAATTAGCACACACACATGAAGGCTGCACGGACCGCGCAGAAAGAATGCGCGGCCGCGTAGGGCTGAAGGTTAACCGAGTCGGGATTTTTCATTTTAAGTCCAATTTTTTTGTTCAAATTATGGGTCCTAATTGTCCCTACTCAATTATTAATCATGAAATCATGCCCATTGTTCAACATAAACACACAAAAATCTAACCTAATAGTGTAAACTAAGAAGAAAGAGAAGAAAATTAGAAGTTATACTAATGGGAAGCAAATAAAATAATCAAAAATTAAACTATTAATGAGATTAGAAAGGAGTGTTACCAGGGATTATGCAATTTCAATTACGTGAAGCAAAGGTGTTGATGAACAGTTAATTTTTAGTCTCGGAGAGTAAAAGTGTGAAAAGGGTAAAATGAGGCCCCAGGTCTCTATTTATAGAAAACATCCGAGCCCCGTCACTCACCTACCAGCGCGGCCGCACAGAAATGGCCGCGGACCGCGCTGGGTTTCCATCCATGCGGACCGCGCTGTTTTGGTGCGCGGCCACGTGAGTGTTTGTCAGAGGAACTGCATTTTTGGTTCTGTCCGGCGCGGACCGCACAGAAATGGACCGCGGCCGCGCTGGACCTTCTGAGACCTAACCCCTTATTTGCTCCAGCCTACGCGGACCGCACTGTTGTGGTGCGCGGCCGCGCTGGGCCAAACTTCAGAAACCCAGCAATTTTTTTTTTATGTCCTGCACTGGTTCAACATTATCCCTGCAACACTTCACAAACTATCAGCTCAAAATCATACTCTACACAGAAAACAAACAGAAAGAAAAGGACATGGGCTGCCTCCCAAGAAGCGCCTGATTTAACGTTGCGGCACGACGCATGTTACCATCAAGGTCACTTCAAATGAATGAGTGCCACCACGTGGCTGTCATCAAACTTTCCCAAATAATGCTTGACACGATGCCCATTGACCCGGAAAACTTCACCATTCTTATTTTTGAGATCAATGGCACCAAAAGGAGTCACACCAACCACTTCAAATGGACCGCTCCACTTAGACTTTAGTTTGCCCGGAAATAACCTTAACCGGGAGTTGAACAGGAGAACCATGTCGCCAACCTTGAATTCTTTTCCCCGGGCATACTTGTCGTGAAGGTACTTCATCTTGTCCTTATACAAGGACGATCAGGAGTAAGCATGAAACCTAAACTCGTCAAGTTCATTCAATTGTTCAACCCGGAGTTTTGCTGCAATGTCCCATTCTAAGTTCAACTTTTTCAAGGCCCACATGGCCTTATGCTCCAATTCCACCGGAAGATGACAAGCCTTCCCAAACACCAACCGGTACAGTGACATACCAATCGGGGTCTTGAAAGCTGTACGATAAGCCCAAAGAGCATCATCCAATTTCTTCGACCAGTCGGTCCTATTTGCATTGACAGTCTTGGACAAAATACTCTTGATCTCTCGGTTAGAAACCTCAACTTGGCCGCTCGCTTGAGGATGATAAGGAGTGGTCACCTTGTGATTTACCCCATATTTGGCAAGCAAAGAATCAAAAGCCCGGTTGCAAAAATGAGAACCACCATCACTAATGATAGCACGTGGAGTGCCAAACCTAGTGAAGATACTCTTTTTCAAGAACGCCACCACACTTCGAGCTTCGTTGTTGGGTAAAGCGACGACCTCGACCCATTTCGACACATAATCAACCGCTGCCAAGATATAGGTATTGCCACAAGAACTCACGAAAGGGCCCATAAAGTCGATCCCCCAAACATCAAAAATGTCAACCTCTAGAATCGTGTTAAGGGGCATATCATTTTCTTAGAAATCCCTCCAGCTTGTTGGCATTCATCACATCTCTTGACAAAGTCACCAGCGTCTTTGAACAAAGAAGGCCAATAGAAACCACAACTAAGCACTTTAGATGTCTTCCTCGCCCCGCCATGATGGCCACCATAGGGCGAAGAGTGACAAGCTTCCACAATACTCAACTGCTCTTCTTCGGGAACACACCGGCGAATTACACCATCGGTGCAAATTTTGAAAAGATACGGCTCATCCCAATAATAGTTCAAACAATCCCGCTTGAGCTTCTTCCTATGGTTGGAAGAGAGTTCATACGGGACCACAGCGGTAACAAGATAGTTGGCAATGTCGGCAAACCACGACATGTCTAGCATTGAAATCGAAAGGAGTTGTTCATCCGGAAAAGTATCATTTATTTCAAGGCCGTTCGAAGGTCTCCCTTCCTCCTCCAATCGAGATAAGTGGTCCGCCACTTGGTTTCACTTCCCTTTCTATCAACAATCTCCAAATCAAATTCCTGAAGAAGGAGCACCCATCTCATTAACCTCGCTTTTGAATCTTTCTTGGTCATCAAGTACCTAAGGGCGGCGTGATCGGTATGGATAATCACTTTGGACCCCATAAGGTACGGGCGAAACTTCTCCATGGCAAAAACAATGGCAAGCAATTCCTTCTCGGTGACCGTGTAATTCCTTTGAGCTTCGTTCATTGTCTTACTCTAGTAGTACACCGGATGGAACATCTTGCTGATTCTTTGGCCCAAAACCGCCCTCACCGCAACATCACTAGCGTCGCACATGAGCTCAAAGGGCAAGCTCCAATTTGGTGCGGTAATGATGGGGGTAGTAGTCAACTTTTGCTTTAGAAGCTCGAAAGCCTCCATGCATCTCTCATCGAACATATATTTGGCATCTTTCTCTAGCAATTTACACAATGGGTTAACTACCTTAGAAAAGTCTTTGATGAATCTTCGGTAGAAACCCGCGTGTCCAAGAAAACTCCTCACCCCTTTGACAGAAGTAGGGGGAGGTAGCCTTGAGATCACCTCAACTTTTGCCTTGTCAACCTCAATACCTCTTTTTGAAATCTTGTGACCTAACACAATACCTTCTTCTACCATGAAATGGCATTTCTCCCAATTGAGAACCAAGTTTGTGTCTTCACATCGGGCCAACACACGATCCAAGTTTAGCAAGCATTCACCAAATGAGTCCCCAACCACACTAAAATCATCCATGAAGACCTCCAATATATCCTCCACCATGTCGGTGAAGATTGCCATCATACATCGTTGGAAGGTCGCCGGAGCATTGCATAAACCAAATGGCATTCGAGAGAAAGCGAATGTGCCATAAGGACATGTGAAGGTAGTCTTTTCTTGGTCTTCCGGGGCAATGAGAATTTGGTTATAGCCTGAATACCCATCTAGAAAACAATAGAAAGCCCGGCCCGCAAGACGATCAAGCATTTGGTCAAGGAACGGCAATGGGAAGTGATCCTTTCTAGTTACCTTGTTCAGCTTACGGTAGTCCATACACACTCTCCAACCCGTCACAGTACGAGTCGGAATAAGCTCATTGTTGTCATTGGTCACCACTGTCATTCCTCCCCTCTTCGGCACACATTGCACCGGAGAAGTCCATGAACTGTCAGAAATAGGATACACCACACCGGCATCAAGCCACTTGATAACTTCCTTCTTGACCACTTCTTGCATGGCCTCATTGAGTCTCCTTTGGTGTTCAAGAGAAGGCCTAGCATCCTCCTCCAGTATAATCTTGTGCATGCAAAACGCGGGGCTAATGCCCCGAATATCGGCCAAGGTCCATCCAATCGCCCTCTTGCGCTTTTGAAGAACCGCCAAAGTGGCGTCAACCTGCACATTAGTCAAGCAAGACGAAAGAATAACAGGTAAAGTGAAATTGGGACCCAAGAATTCATACCTGAGGTGAGGAGGAAGTGGTTTCAACTCCAACACCGGTGGCTCCTCAATAGATGGCTTGGTGGGTGGAGTTTTGCGATTTTTAAGATCCAGATATAACTTCCTCGGCTCATAAGAATACGAGCCCATGCCATGCAATGCGTTCACACACTCCACCCTTTCGGCATCATCATCAACATCCATGTTCAAGAGCACGGCCTCAAGTGGGTCCTCAACATTCGCCATTGCGCTTGTTTCATCCACTATCACCGCAGTGACAATGGCAACAAACGAGCACATTTCGGTGCTATTTGGTTGTTTCATAGATTTGCACACGTGGAACACCACCTTTTCATCACCAACACGGAAGGTCAGTTCTCCCACTTCAACATCAACAAAGGCCTTCCCCGTAGCTAGGAAAGGCCTTCCCAGAATAATAGACACCTCGAAATCCACTTCACAATCCAAGATAACGAAGTCGGCCGGCAATATGAACTTATCAACTCGAACAAGGACATCATCGATAATTCCCAAAGGCCACTTCATTGATCGGTCCACCATTTGAAGCCTCATAGAAGTTGGACGAGGTTGTCCGATTCCCAAGGTCTTGAAGACCGAATATGGCATTAGATTTATACTCGCCCCCAAGTCACATAGGGCTTTTGCGAAATTGGCACTTCCAATGGTACATGGTATCGTGAATGCTCCGGGATCCTCTAGCTTTGGAGCCATGGAATGTACAACGGAACTCACTTGATGCGTCGTCTTGATTGTCTCGCACTCCATAGATCTCTTTTTAGTAACCAAGTCCTTCATGAACTTTGCATATCCCGGCATTTGTTCAAGTGCCTCCACCAAAGGCACATTGATAGTAAAACTCTTCATCATCTCAATAAACTTTTTAAATTGGTTGTCACCTTTTTGCTTGGCCAACCTTTGAGGATATGGCGGAGGAGGCCTAGGCAAGGGTGCATTAGCATTTGGCACCACAGGTTCGGGCATATCACTGACGTGTTCCCTAGACGGGTTCACGGCCTCTTGAGTCTCCTCCTCACCCTCATCAATTTCAACTCTCACATCATTGCTTGCATTTGGTTCAACAACATTCTCAACTACCAACGACATCTCATCATTTTGCAATTCTTCTTCATCAACCACAACTCGATTACCTTTTGAGGCTTGCACATCACCGCCTCTCCCACTTCTTGTAGTCACTGCCATCACATGGTTATTGTGCCCACCCTTGGGGTTCACTACCGTATCACTTGGTAGAGCACCCTTTTGGCGAGTGTTGAGAGATTGCGAAATTTGCCCAAGTTGTACTTCCAAGTTACGGATCGAAGTGTTATGGGAGGCTAATTGAGCATCGGAGTTCTGGTTCTTTTTCATCATTTGCTCAAACATGTTCTCTATTTGACCCATGTCATTGCTCGACGAACTCGACCCTTGTGATTGAAACGGAGGCGGGTTGTTCCGTTGTTGATACATCGGAGGCCTTTGAAAGCCTTGCCCCCTATTACCTTGACCACCATTATTGTTCCACCCACCTTGACCACTATTTTTGTTGTTCCAATTGTTGTTCCCGTACCAATTTCCTTGATTCCCCGAATTATTGTTCCCCCAATTTCCTCCTAGATTGTTATTGTTATTCCAATTGCCACCTTGTTGATTGCCCCAATTACCTTGGGGTCTCCATTGTTGATTCCCTTGATTACCTCTATTCCCTTGGTAGTTGTTGACGTATTGGACTTCCTCACTTTGGTCATCATAGCATTCATTCGAATAACCACCACCATCATCATAGTTGTCAAAATTTTCTTGAGGTTGTTGTTGCCCTCTTTGCCTTCTTTTCATCATACTCACTCCCTCCATGGCATTGACTTGGCGCGGGTTTTGAACTTGTTGAAGTTGCGCCTTAGCCAATTGGTTCATTGTTGTTGTGAGTTCGGCAATGGCTTGTCCGTGGTCATGTAGTTCCTTGTTTAAATGTATAACATTGGAATCACTTTCAGGAACGTTTGCCCGACTTTGCCATGCCGAAGAAGTATCGGCCATTTCATCAAGAACATCACAAGCTTCGTTGTATGGAAGCTTCATAAAGTTACCACCGGCCAACTGATTCATAATACACTGATTTGTTATATTTATGCCCCGATAGAACGTTTGTTGGATCATCACATCGTTCATGTCATTGTTTGGGCACTCTTTTACCATAGTTCGAAATCTCTCCCATATCTCGTGCAAAGGTTCCGTCGGCTCTTGCTTGAAAGCTAGAATCTCATCTCGAAGAGCTGCCATATGATTAGGAGAAAAGAACTTGGCAATGAATTTATCTGCCAACTCATCCCACGTTGTTATGGAATGGTTTGGGAGTCTTTCTAACCAATCCAATGCTTTCCCTCGAAGTGAGAAGGGGAAAAGCCTTAACCTCAGTGCATCCTCCGAAACATTTGTCTACTTGCTCCCCCAACATGTATCCACAAACCCCTTCAAATGTTTGTATGCGTTTTGGTTAGAGGCGCCCGTGAAGTACCCTCGTTGTTCGAGCAAAGTGAGCATGACATTGGTGATTTGGAAGTTCCCCGCCCGGATTCGGGAAGGAACTATGGCACTGGCATATCCTTGGTTGGGTAGAACCCTTGGTGCTACTCTTGGTGGAGCAGGAGGAGGGTCTGGGATGCTGTCATTAGCATTAACCGGAGCATTTCTACCCCTTCTTTGTGGTAAAACCTCTTCTTGTTCTAGGTCTTCAACCTCCTCCACACCCACGTTGCCAAGAGCATCTTGTCCGTTTAAAGCCATTGGTACCTGAGTGAATTGACACAAATAAAGTTAGTAAAAAGAAGGAAAAAAACTAGCCAACAAATAGTCAAACACCATTTAGCTCCCCGGCAGCGGCGCCAAAAGGTGATCGCAGCAAACTCAACCTTATGAAGAGCGGGTGCTAAGACTTTTACCCAATAGTGGTATCGGGGTCAATTTCCACAGGGAGCTTGGAATGGAGTCGAGTATTTGTTTGGTCTAAGAGTGTGGTTGAGCTCCTAATTGTACTTCTAACATTTTTGGGGTTTTTATAATTATCAACTATAATTTACCAAGTACAAGATAAAACTAAGTTATGCTAAGATATTAATTCTAGATTGTATGCAATATAGAGAAAGGCACTAGGGTCATGGCATTCACCTAGGTGGTCAAATAACGGGTAGAGATTTCTAATACAAGAACGATGATTATGGGAAATTATGTATAACCGTTGCGCTATTTCACTCACTCTCACACCTCTCGGTAGAGAGAGTGATTTTGCCCAATTGACTCTCTCGAGACCAATTGGGTATGCCAATTTGCCCAAGCTACTTAGGGTTCAAGTTGGATAATTACTCTCTCGAGGTTTAACCAGTTAATTGGGACTACCATTCTCATGGGTCCATCCCAATTCCTTGTTGAGTCAATCTTGGGGTCATAGACTCTCTTTCTCAAGAAGAGTCAAGACCCACTAAACTAGACTTAGTGTTTGCAACCACCAAATCCTAATGAAAACATAAGATTAACCCAAATAACAAACACCCAACATCATTCAAGCATTAAACAATCACACCCATTAATTACCCATACTAGGGTTGAGCCACAACCCTAGCTAATGGGTTTAGCTAGACATGACAAGAGCAGAAATTGAAGAAATAGTAGATGAAATTGACATATTAATTAACTACAGTGTTAATCTACAAGAATCCACGATAATACAAGATGAAATTGCCCAAAATAGGCTAAAACTTTGAAGTCACGAGTGCAGCTGCTATCTGATATCTAATTATTTTACCTAAAAAGGTAAAATGTTCTATTTATAGTACACAGGAAAAACTAGACAAAAATACCCCTGCGGGTCTGGTGCGGACCGCGCATAAGTGCCGCGCGGCCGCGTAGGAGTCTTGGTCTTTAATCCTCTCATCTGAAGCAGGGGCGCGGATCGTGCAAGAATGTGGCGCGGACCGCGCATAAATGGGCGCGGCCGCGTTGGTTGACAGGCGCGGACCGCACATAAAGGAGCGCGACCGCGTAGGTGAAGGACGCGGACCGCATAGAAAAGACGTGCGGCCGCATTGGGGAAGGACGCGGACCGCATAGAAAAGACGCGCGGCCGCGTTGGGGTCTTGGCAGAAACATCAACTCTCTGTCTCTCACCCGCACGGACGCGCACCAAAACAGCGCGGTCCGCGTAGGACATAACTGAAAAGCCATAATCTCTAAACTCCCGGCGCGGCCGCGTGGCAAAGCAGTGCGGTCCGCGCTGGGTCTCCTTGTTCCCCATTTCACCGGTCTTTAACACTTGGAAGATTTCACTCCGTTTTGAGCCGATCTTTGACATTTGTCATCTTGTTGCTCAAACCTGCAATCAAGCGCACTTTGTAAGCATTTTGGGACTAATATATGGCAATTCATACGCAAAGCTTAGGCAAGAATGGGTATAAAACGCGTAGAAATCATAGTTATCAGCCAGCACAGTAGCTAGGGCAGCACCTGCAGATCCACCTGCCGCCCCAGTTTAGGACCAGGTCCCAGTTGTGGACACTCCAGCAGCACCAGCTCAGGCACCAGCTGTGCCCATTGTGATTCGGGTCTTCAGGAGGCCTTGTCTCAGATTCTATCAGTTTGCACTAGCCTAGCTCAGGAGGTTTCAGTCACTACAGCCGCAACTACTTCTCAGGCCGGGGGAGGCACTCAGACTCCTGCCGCTCGCACACCTAAGCAGGTCGTGCAGGGACTTCAGACACCGGGGGCATATCCAGCCCAGTCGGTTGCAGCTGCTCAGGACTATGTAGTTCCTGGCATGCTAGACGACGAGCAGCGTAAGTTGGAGAGGTTTAGTAGACTTCAGCCTCCGACCTTTAGTGGTGCAGAGGGCGAGGATGCCCAGGGTTTCTTGGATAAGTGTTAGAGGATGGTTTCGTACAACGGGTATTCTGGAGACCAGTGGGGTCGCTTTCACTACTTATCAATTTTCTGGAGCTGCCTTCACTTGGTGAGAGGCCTTTGAGAGGTGTAGTCCTGTTGGTGCAGCACCCCTTACCTGGCAACAGTTTTTTGTTCTCTTTTTGGAGAAGTATGTGTCATAGTCTCGCAGAGAGGAGCTGCGCAGGCAGTTTGAGTGGTTGCGTCAGGGAGAGATGACTGTGACGCAGTATGAGATGAGGTTCTCCGAGTTAGCTCGTGCCCATGGTAAAAGACCTGCTATATCCATTCCCCACTTTATGAACGACCAAGGGGAAATGACCCGATGGAGCAGTTCCCGCCGCTGATGTATCATCGGGGCATGCCTGTGACATTCGTCAAACTTTAGAATAAAGTCTTTTGCATACTTCTCAATTTTCTTCTTATAATACTCGGCCCTGATCAGCTTTCGGGCCAATGATTCTGGCCCCGAATGTTACCCACAAGTCCCCTCATGGACTTCCCTCATCACGTAATCGGTCTTCCCAGGCCCCAAACATCTTGCTAATGGTCCGAAAAATAACCTTCGATACAGTTGGCCATCAACCAAGAAAAACCTAGAAGCTTTAGTTCGAAGGGTCCTCGATTCCTTAGGATCCGATGGTAGTTTTCCCTTCTGAAGGTAGTACACGTATTTGTTTCGCCAATCCCAAGTCAAACTCGTTGAGTTTACTTTGGCATGACCGCCCTCTATTACGGAGCTCATCAATTGCACCACCATTCCAGAGTTGAATTCTTCGGGGTCTACTTACAATCCTAAATTAGCCAATGCATCGGCCTCACTGTTTTGATCTCGAGGCACACGTTATAGTGTCCATTTTTCGAATCTATGTAACACTACTTGCAGTTTATCTAAGTACCTCAACATCCGGTCTGCTTTGATTTTGAATGTTCCATTAACCTGGTTAACAACGAGGAGGGAATCGCACTTGGCTTCGATAACCTCAGTCTCTAAATTTTTAGCCAATTCTAGAACTGCAATCATTGCCTCATACTCATCTTCATTGTTAGTCAATTTCATAGTCCTAATTGATTGTCTTATCACGTCACCGGTGGGGGGTTTTATTACGATGCCCAACCCGGACCCTTTCACGTTGGAGGCATCATCCGTGAATAGGGTCCAGACCCACGAGCTAGTCCCTGAGGTGAGTAGTAATTCTTTATTGACCTCGAGGATCATGGACAGTGTGAAATAGGCCATGAAATCTGCCAATATCTGGGACTTTATATTTGTCCAGTGTTTGTATTAAAAATCGTACCCGCTAATCTCTACGACCCACTTTGCTAGCCGACCTGAGAGTTCGGGTTTATGCATAAAACTCCATAACGTGTACGAAGTCATAACACATATAGGATGGAATTGAAAATATAGTTTTAGTTTCCTAGATGCACTTAGCAAAGCAAACGCCAACTTCTCTAGGAATGGATACCTCGTCTTGGCATCACCTAGAGTTCTACTAACATAATATATTGGAAATTGCGTCCCTTTTTCTTCCCAAACCAGGACACCACTTAGTGCTATCTCGGACACTGCCAAGTAAAGGTATAGTTGCTCGTTCGCCTTCGGGATGTGCATCAAAGGATGGGTTGACAAGTATTGTTTGAGTTCCTCCAAATCCTTTTGGCACTTCGGGTTCCAGGCAAAGTTTCTCTTTTTCTTTAGTAACGAGAAAAATTTGTGGCTTTTATCCGACGACCTGGAAATGAATCGTCCCAATGCGGCAATTGGTTCGGTCAGTCTTTGCACTGCCTTGATGTCGTTAACCACGATGATATCTTCTTTTGGCCTTTATCTTATCCGGGTTGATCTCTTTCCCCGATTAGATACCATGAAATCGAGGAACTTGCCCAAGTCGACTCCAAAAGCACACTTCACTGGGTTCAAC